ATTGAAAATAACATCACCTAAGCCACAGTGCTTTTAGAGGTCAACCCCTGCTCAGCTGGTCCATCTGGCATGACTGGTGTTTTAACAGCTGCTGCCCCGTGAAGGGCTCTCCATCGCCCTTTGCTGCTAGACCACTGGCTTTCTGTGGCTTTTTCCTTGCAGGCTTTTCTTCTTTGAAGAAAGGTGTTTGCGTAACTCTGGTGTCCAGTTAATTGTATGTACTTTAGGTATTTTCTACTTTGTATGTGTTAGGCTGGCTTGAGAGAGATCATGCTGCTTCGGGGGACTTGTTACAAAACTTTCAAAACATGTTATCACACTTTGAAATATGTATAAGCATGTGTGCATGCACATGTGTTTTGGAATTTGAGTACTGCAAGTAATAACTCCCTCAGAGTGTGTTTTGTTTGTTTTCCAGAACACAAAGGGCTTTTGGAGTTTGGTTAATTTTCATGTCAAGAGCTCTGAGGAGTCAACAGGCAGCGCCTCCTCTGGGAAGCCACATGAACGCTCTCCAGGGATGCTCCTTAAAAAACAAACAACAACAAATATATATTTCTCTATACCAGCACCCTGCAAAACCAGACTCAGAAACTGCCTCTTGTTTCTTGGAATTTATGTTGTCTTGGGAGTGCTGTTTCTAGGCCTTTGCATTATTTTGCAATTATTGAACACTAGGCCTGATTTTGCTTGGCTTCCCTTGGACTTCAAGAATGGTTTTCACTGTTATTTTAAACACAAGTCAGCTCTCCCATTGGTTAGGGGAAAAGAAAAAAGTATCCATTTTTCTGGCAACATAATGTTAGTTCAATTTCTATATTAGTATAAAGAAGGGGAGAACTGAATGTAAAAAAGTATATTTAAGTATCTCTATACTGTGAACTTAGTGTCAGAAGTTCCTCTACCATCGCAAATGCATTTCAGTCAGGGATTTTATTCTGTTGTCCAAATCAGCTCTAAATTATTCTTTCTTTTGGGGGAACTTCCAGTTAAAAACCACCTAAACAGTGTTTTGGAGTCGGAATCACACAGCAGGTGTATATGTTTCCTACGGAAAGGATACACTGAATTACTGTCTCCTCCTCCTCTTCCTCTTTCTTCTTAGCTCAGTTAATAACTTCTGATCCATCTCAATTTAAAGCAAAGGAAAGAGTTTTATTAATTTGAACTTTGTACTTACAGGCTCTGGTGTCACAAATAAATTAATTTAAAATAATAAATTTTAGCAGTGAGCCCACTGAGGAAAGAATTACTACAATGGAATTTAATTTAAATCGTTAAATAGCATAATGGGTATAAGATTGTTATGTTAAATACTGTGTCAAAACAGAGGCTTCATAATTACTCTGCTTCAGAGTACTTCAGAATTTCTAAACATGTAGAGAAAAAATGAGGAAATGGGAAGAATTACAGGATTATAAAAGGATAGGATAAGATAGGATAGGATAGGATAGGATAGGATAGGATAGGATAGGATAGGATAGGATAGGATAGGATAAAGTATAGTAACACATACCTGTGAAGTATAGTAACACATAAGGAAAAGCATTGTGTTGATTTTTCAAAGGGTTTGCTGTAGGAGTTATGGGGGTGATGTTCATTCAGCATGTTAGACACAGCCATAAATGCATGCATTTGTAGACACCCAGGATGCAAGAGAATATGTAATAGTCTCATTTGGGTTTTGGAGGTAAAAAGCCAAATGTTCAAACACAGACTCAGTCACTTGTCAGCTACAGCACTTTGTGGGGCCTCTGTTTCCTCATGAGAAACAGAAGATGTGCGATTTCTTCATTGAAACTTTGTCATGAAGATTAAATAGCAGATGTGGTAAGTAGTCTAGCACAGTGCCTGACACACAGTAGGTAGCCCTGGCATATTTACTTTCCTTCTGTTTCCTCTGCCCCATTCCTCATCATAACCACTTGTACCAAAATGCTAGAGTCTGGAAATCTGATCATGTGAATTAATAAATCCTGTAAACCGTAGGCACATTTCTATAGTGAGTGCTAGCACCTAATAGGGTCCTCCAGGTCACAGCTTTATTGCCTATTTTACCTCTTGTGAATCTATCTTGTACTAAGCATTACGTATGAGCCACAGTTCCTCTAGTCAGGGTTACTGATTAAGGTTTCTGGAAAGTGGAAGAATTGCAAGAGCTCAGAGCTAAAGTACCTCCAATTCAGTAGAAGAACAACTGTGACATCTAAAGGCCGACAGCCAGGCTGAAACACAGCATCAGTTCAAAAACATGCAAAAGATTGTGCAAAAGGCAAATACCACTGTTGTGTACTAAAGTAAAGATCAAATTCTACTTTTCTGCTATTTTTATTACGCTTTCCTATTCAGTACAGATTCCTTTTGCAATAAAAGCATTAAATCTTTCTGAAAAGCAAATATGCCTCCTCATTAATCACCACTTTGCCTTGCTTTTTCCTCAATTTCACTATTGAGAAGTCTGCAGCACTACAAACCTTCAACTAGTGTGCTACCTTGATTAAGGCACAAAACGTTAAAAGCAAATTACTGTGAAAGTATGAAACAATTTGCACTTAATGTTTCAGTCATATCTGTAAAAAATATGACTTAAATATAGTTTTATTAATAATACATATTTTAATTAAACGGCTAGAGGTGCATCTAGCAGGAAAAATTGAATCTTCTCCAGATTTCACGTACTGGTATGATTCATGGGCAGTAAATATGCAAAGCTTTATGCCCATAAGGCAATCAAACTCCAAAGCTGATGTGCATGTTTTTATCTAAAAGAATGAAATCTAGGAATAATAACAATCATAACAGACTGCCAGAGCAGTCGAATTAATTGGCTCCAGTCAACAGTGTCCTTTCTGTATAACAGAATCAGCCTTTCAAAAGCAATTACAACCACTCCAATATGTACTATTACCTCCATTATTCTCACTACACAAGCAAGTTCTGTGTATGTACAAATATGTGTTGAAAAACTTCACAAATATTAATAATAAGATCCTGGAACACGAGTGACCATCCCTGCAGAGCACTAAACCATTTGTGTTGTAGGATGCTTAGATGGCACTTAACCCCCAAAACCTCACTTTAACTCCTGAAATTTACCTTAATCAGTTTGCTAGTGCTGCCATGACAAAGTACCAAAGAGTGGGTGGCTCAGACAAGAGATTTATTTTCTCTGGGGATCAGGTGTAAAGAGAGTTGATTTTTCCTCCGCCTGACCCTTGGCTTTCTAGAGGGCTGACTTCTCCGGTGTCTTCACATTGTCTTCCTTCTGTACATTCTGTACCCTAATTTCCTCTTCTCAGAACACCAATCCTATTGGATTAGAGCCTCGTCCTAGTAATCCTGCTTTAGTTTAGTTATCTATTTAAGGACACTGTGCCAAGCACATCTGAGATACTGTGAAGTAGGACTTAGCAAAGGAATTTTAGAAGGACATCAACCTGCCCTTAACAGATTTACGTCACTTGACATAGTGTCACTTCAAATAAAAACCCATTGCCTGCATAAAAGAATGCAAAATGGACTCAAGGCTAAAGTTCTTATTTTTTATCAACTTTATCACAAAAATCACTTGTATTGTAATGTAGCCATCACTTTAAAACACTTGAAAATTAAAACGTAGTCTCTGGTTTAGCAAATGATGAGAGGACATCTGGCCTTTACACCAAACCCAATTATGACTTAGAAGCCATAAGCATTGTGAGTCACTGGAGCTGTGCCGAGCAATGATGCCATGCAGGAACAAAGCAAGCTTGGTATTGTCTTTCTTAGGTGACAAAGTCATCTGGAAAATACTCCTGGAACTCCAGCGTTAGACACATACACTTTGTCTTTTATGATAAATTATCTTTTTTTGCCATTAAAAACTTCTTTCTATATTTAATATTGTAAATGTTGAAGTGTCATTAATTCAAAAATTTAAAAGCCGCTACACTCTTGTTATGCTTATCCTTTTCACGGTTCCCATTGTTTCACTGATCTCATTCAATCTAGTGGTGTCGTTGTGTTTAATAGACAGCTCTTACAAGGGGTATGTAATAGGGACAGTCAGTGCCTTCTTTTCAATTTTAGTTTTTCAGCCATTAACATTTAATGTAATTATTGATACGATTACATTTAAGACTACCATTTATTTTATTTTACTTATCCCTTCTGTATTTTGTGTTCCTCTTTCTTATTTTAATATGTGAGCATTCCATTTGAAATGATCCATTAGTTTTTCAGCTATATCTTTTTTGCTTTACACTTCGGAGTTCCTCTAAGGATTATAACATAGGTATCTAAACTTCAACAGTCTACATAGAGTTAATACTGTAATGTTCCCTGTAAAGTGGAAAAGTTTTAAAATCAAATAGTCCCTTTACCACCACCCCCTAACTGAAGTTAATCATTCAAATGTACTTTAAACATCTGAAAGGAAAAATAATTGTCCTTTATAATTATCTATTTACCATTCTTACTGATCTTTTATTTCTCTTGGGCTGAAAAAAAGTATGCTTAGCACAAATTTATTTAGTTTTCTGTAACTCAAAAAGGTTTCCTTTAAATTTTAAGAGACCCTTAACGGGACTTAGAATTTAATGCTAAGAATTCTTTTAACACTTTTAAATTTTTTTCAGATCATTTTATTAGTACATGTGTGTGACACATAACGTTTACATCCCTGTGTGGAATTGGTACATGAACATAATGTACTTGAATTCCTGTCGTCTCCTTTCTTTTCTCTCCCTCCCCTCTCCATCTATCTCTTGTTACCCTTCCTTTTTCCTGTGCATGTTTGCAGGACACAATGTTCACGGTACTTTCTGTAGAGTTGGTAACGACACTGTCCCATTGTCCCCTGAGTCCGTAGATTCAGGTGAGACATCCACCCATGGCAGTGCAAATCCTTGTCCACCCAATGCAAAGTTTCTTTCTTCTACCTGCATTTAGGGCTTTTGATTTGTCCTTGATTTTCAGCAGTTCAATTATGATGTGTTTAAATATTGTTTTCTTTGAGTTCATTTGGTTTAGTCTTGCTGAGTTTGATTTTTTATTTAATTTTGCCTTTTATTACTTGGGATTTGGTTATAGTTTATTCAATTTTTGTCTCAATATTTGTCCTCTCTTTTAGAACTCCACTCTTTGTCTATTGGACTTAGTTACGTAGTCCCATGAGTGCCTGAATTTCTGTTTGTTTCTTTCAATCTATTCTATTCTCTGTTCTTCAGTCTCAACAGTTTTATTAATCTTCAAGTTTACTGATTCTCTCCTTTTTTAATCTTCACCCTGCTGCAGAGCCAACTCTGCTACATATTTATTTCACATATTAAATTTTCAGTACTAAAATATGCACTTGCTTCTCTTTTGTACTTTCTAGTTTCTGCTGAAATGTTTATTTTCCCTCCTCTTGTAGGTCACAGGCATAATAACTTCTTTAAAGTTTCTGCCTAGTAGCTCAACACCTGAATCTTCTTGCTTTTGGCATTGGTTCATTGTCCCTTCCTTCGGGAACTGGTTACATTTCTCTGTTGTTGGTTTGTGTTTTGTATTTGTATTGTGGATAATAGGCTGGACTTTTTCATGGTATGCTTTATAGACTATGAGTCCTATTATAATTACCTGAGGAGTGTCGATATTCCATCATAGGAGACAGTCAGCCCACTTAGGTACACGTTTTACATTCAGTCTCATCTTCCGTGAGGATCTGTCAGTTTCAGTTAGGTCTCAGAGCTGATGCTGCACTGGCTGGGGTCTGACCCACACAGGTTCAGCTTAGGGGTGAGTCTGACATGTGTGTGAATTCATGCACAGGAGTGGGGATCTCTTCCTCTGTTTGCTCTCTTCTCTGAAATTCCCCACACACATTCTCTTAGCCAGTAACACAGGGTGTTTTCTAGAGTTTCACCAGTTCTGTCAAGTGGCTCCATAACTGAGGTGTATTCTCAGAACGAAGCTATGAGAGAAAGAGAAAAAATAAATAAAAGGAAAAGAAGGGAAGGAAAGGAAGGGAAGGGAGGGGAGAGAAGGAGAAGGGAAGGGAGAGGAGAGGAGGGGAAGGGAGGGGAGTGGAGGGGAGGGAAGAGAAGAAGAAATGAAAAAAGAAAAAGAAAAATATCATAGTTCATGTCCCATGTTTTAGTTGCCCCTCACAATATTCCTCCTCCGGTTCATTTCAACCTTTACGTCTTTGGCAGATATTTTTATATTATGCCCCATTTTGCATGGTAAGGTGGACTGTAGTAGATTGTGTCGCCTTAGGGAAATGGAAATTCCCTGGCTTATCTCAAGTTCCTTTTTGGACACCGATAGGGAGGCAAACTTGAGGATTCTTTCAGTAGCTTTCTCTTTCTACCTGGTCATTCCGGAGCCCCCATCTATAATTAAATAAGGATGTGGAGAGTAGGTGACCCAGTACCCTGGCATTCACCTCATGGCTGAGCCCATCTACCCAGCTTTTACATCAGGACCAGAAATAGCTGGTTCTAGTTGCTTATCTTTGTGGCCCAGATATATGTGTTCAAGTAACTTTTTGAGATCATGAATTTAAATTTATTCTTCTGATTCTCAAACTAATGTCAACCAAATGCACTCAGAAAAATACACATAAATAAAGAACAGGGAAATAAAGCATCTCAAGGAATAACACTTAACCTTTTTGCCTCTTCAAGCAAGCCACATATGACCCTTACTAAGTTCATGAATGAGAAGTTAATTTCCATGAATTTGTTATTACTGCAAGAAAATAATTATAATAATGAGTGTAAGTTCATAGCATGTGCATTCATTTGTTAAATACTTATTGAACACCCAAATATGTCAAACATCAAAATTCTCTAAGTGACAACAAATTGATAGGTTCTGATTTGTTGCAAACTTCTGTTTTTGTGTTTGTTTGTTTGCTTGTTTGCTTGCACACCTGTTTGTTTGTTTTTTGAGAGAAGGTCTTATTATGTAGTTCAGGCTGGCCTCAAACTCATGGCAATCCTCCTCCGTCAGCCTCCTGAGTACTGGGATTACAGGCATGTGCCACCATGCCCAGCTGAGGTAAACTTTTAAACAAGCTATAATTCTCTCCCTCTTTTTAAAAGTTACATTGTTACTTCTGTGATATGCCTTTTGGCTTATCGCAGTGTATTTTTCTAACTTGATTAATGCATTTTATGTCGGTCCCAGTGCAGTTAGGAGTATTCTCAGAGTACAGAAAGTAAGTGATTTCACATAAGGATGTTGACTCAGAGCACACGGGACAGACACATCACTGAATGGTGCTACTGAGTGACGGCTACTCAAAATTAAAAAGGTAGTGAGCACCAAAAGTAGAAGTGGGGGAGCTAAGTTATCACCCTTCCTACCCAAACCCCAAAAGGAGCAGAATGCTCCCGACCTCCCCTGAGTAGTCTCCTCTTTTCCCTCACCCTGGAGTGGAAGAGGAAACCCAGGTACCCTGAGTCTCCCGGGCCACAATCCACACAGTCTCCTCTCATCGTCCTTTAGAGCTGACGGCAGCCACCTGAGTTCTTCAGACCAATTTCCCCACTCCCAGGACTAAGATAGATTTTCAAGATCTCCAAAAACAGTGTGTACTGTGTCCTCTCCTGAAAAGGAAGCACAGAGACTCACCTAATCGCTCAGCATTAAACCGAAAGTCAGGATTCCACAGTATGTAACTTGCTAACAAACTGGCGGGCAATACTTCCCGCAGTATAGGCGCCCTCCCATTTCTCCATTCTCCAGAAGGTCCTTACTTTCTACTAAGAACTTTGCTTTGTGCGAAATCTTGGTTTCAAAGCCTTCTAAAAATAGTTTCATCATTCATACAGAAAGCATGTTTCTGTGCCCCAGAATGCATTGGTGATAAAAAAAAAAAAAACAGAAAAACTGAAGATCCTGGAGCTTGAGTTTTACCCTTGGTCACCAACCTCCCCTTGAATGCTCTTTTAACGGCCTTTTTGTTCTCTGTCCTGTGTCTGGGTCCTGCCCCTCTCTGTCACCTTGATTTACTGCCCCTCCACCTGCTTCCTGCCATCTCCAGGCCAGGAGGCTGCGGTGGGCAGCAGCCTTTCTCTGCCTGACTCTGTCCTCCTGTCCCCTCCGCCAAGCCCTGTGGCTCGGGAAGGAGCGACTCTACTGAGCCCTGTGAAAGTTTCTTTCTGTCACCAAGTTCATTAAAAAGAAATTAAGTCCACGACTTAATTTCTGCTCCCTGAAAGCCTAGAGCATAACAAAGAGCTTATTCCACAAAAATTAAAAGCGCAGAAGTTCCAAAAGCACTAAGTTCAGGGTTTTTACGTTTTGTAGATCAATGAAAGTAAGACACGCTCCCCATGGAAATTAATTCAATTTTAATTCTGTTTATATTAACAGTCTATTTTTCTCAGGGAAGAAAAAAATAACACTTTGCGAAGGGAAGTCTCAGAAAACCATCTGCCTTTCTTCCGCCCCCAACTCCAACAGAAAGTAGAATGCTCACTCTGTCAGACCGCAGGACACAGGTCCACGCGGGCCCATTGCCCATCCCTCACCCCGCTCACCACTTACCCCACACGGTCATTTACTGCTGGCTCCTCCTCCCCTCATGAGAACCATCGGAACAGAGAATGCAGTTTTTTCTTTTCTTCCTCCTTTTGCCCTTTCTTTTCTTTTTCCCCATATCCAGTATCAGCCACAGTTGTGGTCAACTGTAGGTGCTGATTAAATTTATGCAAAATTATAATCTATCGATTAACTAAGGAATGTCAGTGTCTCTACCTTGTGAACCTAATAAATTCATAAACAGGGGAGTCCCTACCCAACCAATAGACACATTTACAGCCTACCAGAATACGGAATACAGGAGGCATTTAATTAATGCTCCTGGTATAACTGATTGATTGATTCATTGATCAACCCTAGGCTATTAGGAGAAAATCACAAACTTCAAAGTCCTCTCAGATGTTTAATAAAGGTGGCTTTGTTACTCCAACAACTCTGAACCAAAATCACCTTCTGGCAGCTGGAGAAAACACAAGGCCTCTGGGGGCGACACAGAGACAGCTCAGAGGTCAAGTGAACCCCCCAGCCTCACCCTCAGTTCTCCCTTAGCCTGGGAGAGTCACTAATTCTTTGATTCTGCTCCTCAGGGTTCCTCTAAGTGTATGACAACTGGCCTGGATTTAGGATACAATGTTCCAAAGCCTTGTAGCAGAAAAGCAACTAAAGACCCAGACTCTCACTTTGCCTCAATCATTTAGTAACATGTAATCCTGGGCAAATCATTCAACTCTCTTCCTACTTAAACTTCTTTACTGGTAAAATGCAGTGCTGACTTCCCTTGGTCATGCATAGATACTGTACTATAAAATCAAAGTTAGTCCACGCATGGTGGTGCATGCCTCAAACACCAGCACTTAGGAAGCTGAGGCAGGATTACTGTGAGTTCCAGGCCAGCCTGTGCTACATAATGAGTTCAAGGCCAGCCTGAACTACATAGCAAGTAGTCTCAACTCCCTCCTCCCCATAAAAGAGAGAATGCATGTATACAATAAACTGAAAAAAGCAGAAACTTGCAATACAAGCCAAACGTATCTGCTTAATTTTTGTTTGTTTTCAGTTTATTCTTTTGAAACTTCTGAACGAACAATGCAAATAGCTCACACCCCCATCACCGGTTGAAATTTAGACAAGCTTCAGGATTTTCTAAGTCACTCCTAAATAATACAAAATACGATCTTAAAACCCCTTTAATTCACAGACAGAATGTCAGTTCGAGAATTAAAAGTATCTAGTGCCCTTTACTAATCAAAACTCCTAATGTGACTGAGAAGTAAACATTTTTCTTCTCTCCGATGAGACTCTGTTACAAGCAGGCCCTTGCAGCAGTATAAGGGTGTAACCATATGGGAGCTCATTGTCTTCCCTTCCACTTTTCCTAAGCCGGTTGCACAGAAGTATTCTCCAGGCAGCCTCTGTCTCTCTCGCCTTACTCACCCCTTTAATCTTCTGCTTTTATCTTACCTCCTTCCCCATGTTTTCCCTCATTCCCTTTTGCTGATCTCTTCCACCACTTGCCAGACTTTTTTGAAATAGACAAAGGAAGAAGTGAATGGGGATGGGCTAGTTATTATTTGACTACTGATGATGTCTCTTGATGTCTGAACCATGAAATGCTTGAAGGGCATTTTTGCCATGTTGGGCAGAACCACACTTTCTACAGAGCTCCCCAGTCCATGTCCTAAAACTCCCTAGACAAGGACCAGGCATTCTCATCCAGATGTTGTGTTCCCAGAGTTGGTAACATAACAGATTTTCTCCACTGGAATTCCATTACCTTTCCATATTCATCCTCTTGAGCAGAATTTTAAAACTTTCTATAAAGGACATTGATGGTCATTATCAAAGTAGAGACAATGGCACAGTGAACTTCCTTGTACTCATCATCAGCTTTAGCAACACTCAATGCATTTCCACATATCCCCCTCCCCACTCCCGGAAATTTAAAAATAAATCCAAGAGTTTTTTATGTTTGAAATGGCTCAGATCAGCTCTTTCTCTAAAGTGACCCTCATCTCCCCTTACGGGAACACTCACCTAGATCCTTACCAGCTGTCGGTGTCGCTCCCGGCCTGCAGGAAGAACACGCGACAGATTCTGACGGTGTGCAATCTTGCCTTTATTTGTCTCCACGTGGGCCCAGCGAGGTCTCCGCTCTGCCACCAGCCCTTTCTCGCCGGTGGACTTTCTCTATCTCTCTCTGTGCTTCTCTCTCGTGGCGGGAAAGGCATTCACTTTTATAGGGTAACAGTGGCCAATCAGTTCAAAGCGCGCGATGCGGGCTGACTGGCTAACATCAGTTGTTGCTAGGCAGACTATCTTACAGAGCGGGTTGTTTAAGTCGCCAGGGCAATCAGGGGGCAGGAAGCAGGCGCCAACTTGGCTCACTCGATGGGAGGGGTAACTTAGCTCAGGCTTTGCTCTTTTCTACAGGCCTCACGTCCGCCAAGTAAAACGACCGGTGTCGGCCGCGGCTCCCAACATCTCCCCCTATTTTATTTACTTTGAATGAATGTATGCATCGCAGCCCGCCCTGGATCGAGTGCAGAGGCTTATGCCCTGTGTTGAGGCCCACCGTAGGCCCTTGGCTTGGACCCTGGTCGGCCGTCCCCGGGTCCACCAAGGCCTTGAGACCCTCGTCCTTTTTCCAGGGCCAGGAGTGAACTGGACGGAACCTGGATGCACATAGGCATGCACTCATGCCCCTCCGTGTGATCCCCTCGGAGAGACATCTAGATCTGGGCAGATTCTAGTAATCCAGCGGCTTTCGTGCAGTATGGGGTAGGGCCTGGCTTAGGTCGAGTCGTGCTGGGGAGGCACGCTCTTACCCGTCATTGACTCACCCACCCTGCTGTGTGGTGTCAATAGGGAAGGAGTGCGGAAGACCCGCCACATCTAGACCCAGTCGTAGGCCAGTCGAGCGAGCCATGCGTAAGCCTGGGGGTCATTGTGCCCATCACGGGCTGCTGCCAGGGCCGCATGGGCAACCAGGTGTACTTGACGCCGGGCCACCGCAAGGCGCCCATTAATAAATGATGTAACCCATCGGAGCAAGAATGGTCCTACAAGTAAGAGCAGAAGCAAGGAGCACAGGGGACCTAACAATGGTAAAATATAGGGGAGCAAGCCGTTCCAGGCCCCCAAAAAGGGATTGTCCTGTAGTTCTTTTAGGGCTCATCTTGTTGTTGGGTCTGCGGTTGGCCTCTGGTGGAACAGGCCTGATCTTCAGTCGAGGGACTTGTCGCATCAACCTCTCTGGGACCCACAGTGGTTCTCGTCCCGGTTCCTGCGGAAAAACACAAACCGCGCCTCGGTTCCAGCTAACCACCGGATCCGGGCCCATCCATTGTCATGCCATAGATAACCGCACCTTTGGAGGCAGGCCTTGGCTTACTCCCCCTTTTTGTTTTTTATTTTTTATTTTTTATTTTTTTTATTTATTTATTTATTTTTTTATCGGTACCAGGGATCGAACTCGCGATTGCCTGCTTACAAGGCAGGCGCTTATGCCGCTAAGCTAAATCCCCAGCCCTCGTTTCCTCGACCGGCGTTTCTCTTAGCCTGCTCGGCCGAGAACTCTGCGTACCATGCTCGCCAGTCTAAGTAGCTGCCTGAGGGTAGACATGCTTTTGCCAACTGGGTCCAGTCCGCTGGGGTGAGCGGCCCAGAAGACAAGTTTTTTAGCATAGCTATGGTATAGGGTGCTGTGGGCCCGAAGGTCGTGACAGCGCTTTTTAATTTTCTGATCTGTTTTATTTCAAGCGGTTCCCAAACATTGCGCCCTTTGCCTGGGGCTATTTGCACAGGGTATACTCCATAAGGACCGTAATCTAGTCCTTGCATCGGTGGATCCCCTCCGAACCATCGTTCACCCTTCCATAACCGCCCATGAAAATACCGTCCGCCCCGCGGCGCGACGTCATAGGACGGCGGTCACGACAGAGTGGAGCGGGGCATCACTTCCTGTGCCGGCTGAGAGAAGGGAGGGTCCCCTGTAGCGGCCTCTCGGCGGGGAGCCGCTTCTGGAAAAGAGCTCCAGGGCGGAGCGGATGGCTCTCTATCTCCTCCCCACCAGAGAGCGCTCGGGGGTCCTTCCTCCTCTCTCTGCTTTTCTCGGGCGGCGCACGCACACAATTCGCGGCGCAACTCGGCATAGGGGTTTTGAGCCTCTCGGCTTCCTGCCCCACCTTCTAGTTCTTTCTCGCTATCAGAGTCAGAGGACTCCAGAGCTTGGGTGTCCTCTATCTTTCCCTGGATTTTTTCCCCCTGGACAGATCCCTCCCGAGAGCATTCCGACTTTGCCTGCTCAAAAGCCTTGCGTGCGTCTATGATTTCCGCGTCTCTAACTGCCGACGGGAACCCCTTCCCCTCCCCTTCAAGGCACGCATGTATCATTTCCCACAGGGGGCAAATAGCCGGCAAAATATCGCCTTCCAATTCCGCCGAGGCGAGGTCCCCGCCTAACTTCTCCCATGACGGCAGGTTTAAATGCCCCGTGGGTAAAAACCAGGGAGCCACCCTATCTACCTCTGCTATGAATAGTTCCAGTGTTTTTTGACCTACCCTGAGGTCTCTAGCTTTTAAAAGCTTTCTAAGGGCCTTTACCAAGGGCCGCGCCTCCGCGCTCGGTAAATTACCCATCTCTAACCTCTAAGGGCTGTTACTCACCGCGTGTGACTTAGAGAACCCGTCACCTACGCGTGAGCCTGAGGGGAGTCTAAAAGCCCTGTAGGTGCGCGCCACCCAGAGCCCAGGCTTATCCCCCACTCACCTGTCCGGCAGCACCACGCTGGAGCGTTGCACACCACCGAGGGGAGTGATCAGGTCCCTGTACGGGCCACCAGATGTCGGTGTCGCTCCCGGCCTGCAGGAAGAACACGCGACAGATTCTGACGGTGTGCAATCTTGCCTTTATTTGTCTCCGCGTGGGCCCCGCGAGGCCTCCGCTCTGCCACCAGCCCTTTCTCGCCGGTGGACTTTCTCTATCTCTCTCTGTGCTTCTCTCTCGTGGCAGGAGAGGCATTCACTTTTATAGGGTGACAGTGGCCAATCAGTTCAAAGCGCGCGATGCGGGCTGACTGGCTAACATCAGTTGTTGCTAGGCAGACTATCTTACAGAGCGGGTTGTTTAAGTCGCCAGGGCAATCAGGGGGCAGGAAGCAGGCGCCAACTTGGCTCACTCGATGGGAGGGGTAACTTAGCTCAGGCTTTGCTCTTTTCTACAGGCCTCACGTCCGCCAAGTAAAGCGACCGGTGTCGGCCGCGGCTCCCAACAACCAGCCACAACCCACGCCACTCCTCTTCAGTGTGCTGCCAAACCAGTTCCACAGCCCATCTCTCCTGCCGTCAAAACTTCCACGACAGTGTCAGAGTACGCAGATAATGGCAAGAACATGAGGGGTCTCCTCAGGCTTGGATTCGTTCACGATCCTCCCATGTATAGCACATAGGATACACAGAACAGCTCTAAATACACCGATAAACAAATACCTTGGAAACAATTTTCACCATCTCAAAATAGTATCTTCAGTGATGAAGAGTTCAAGGGACCTCGAACCACTTTTCTGATGCCTCCTTTGTAATTTCTGCATATGGTCTTGCATAGCCACAGGATGTAAGGATTATCATTGGCATCTTGCCCCAAACTTCAATTTAATATTCAAATTTAACTCACATCCAAAGGGATTTCATTCAATACATATCTAACTGTATTGTTGTTACCATAATTATATCTTCCAGTAATTTTATTATTCTAACTTATAAGTATTTATAAATATTTTCCCCTTATATCTACTATTAAATTGCTTTACCCACACACTAATTTGTAAGTGGCAGATTATTAGTTTTCCATTTAATTCTGTTAATATTCTTTTGAAATTAAAACATGAATATCTGCAGGAAGAGCCACGCTTACTGATATTAAATGATTAGCTTCTAAAAGGGAAGATTTATATTTTTGTTCCATTGCTACAATTCCACTGAGATTTTTAACTTATTAACTCATCATACAGCTAAAACTAACTGAATCATTGCGTGACACTGAATAAATTCATATTCTATTGATGAATTTCCTTCATGTACCGAAAAGTATAATTTGCAGATATGGAAGGCATAGAAGACCACTTTAACCTTCTTCTTAAGTTTCTTCTCAAATAAATTTAGACCAAGGTGACCAGTATTTGAAGCCATATTCCCCACAAGCAACATTGTCAAACTTCTGCTACGTAATTGAGGAGAAAGGTGAGCAACGGTGCTCTCTTTCTCGAAGCTACTAGACCCACACCAGACAGAAGGCTCAGCAGAGCTGTGGTGCTCAAACTGCCCCTCCCCATTCTAGCACCCAGCATTTCAATGGAGCACATGGGTGTTGGATGAAGGTGCATTCGGAAGAGTGAGGACTTGTGGGATTGAATTATGATACAACATAAATTTGCCTTTACTTCTCTATGATGATTAAGCTTGTCTGAATCAAACTGACGGGCTTGGGAGCCTCCTAGGCAATTAATGGAGTATCCGTTTCTAAGAGGGACCTCGGGTGCTGTAAATGGTCCCTGGCCCATTCCTCTCTGGCACTGTTCCTCTGCTCTGCTTCCTGGCTACATCTTTTCTCCACCATCCCTGCCACCATGATGTTTCTGCCTTTGAGCCAACTAACTGAATTCCTTGAAACCATGAGCTAAATAAATGTCTCCTTTTTTAAGGTTTGGGCCCTGGGTATTATGCCCCAACAATGGGAAAGTTGACTAGTACATTCACTTTGATAATGCATGTGATGGGAAATATCTACCCCTCACCTATGGGAGATAAAGACTTGGGCAGTCCTGGTCACTCCTAGGAAACTCAAAGTTCCACAGTGTTTTTAAGTCATCAGACATACTGGCAGCTTCACACTAATGCTAACCCTACAAGCAAAATGTCAAGGAGTGCAGCTCAGCAGGAAAGTACTTGATTAGCACATAGAAAGCCCTGAGTTCAATCCTCTGTATGACCAAATAAATGCACATAATAAATGCAGAATAATTATACATATGATACACCCTTGAGGGAAAGTAAGAAAACGTTAATTTCACCACTCAGGAGAAGGTTATCTGTAGGAGAAAGACTAAAGAAATGGCTTTACAGTGCCTTGAAGGTACCAATATTTCTGTGTGCTAAACTAGGTTGACCAGTATAAATATCTTCTTTTGGCAATCTCTGTAATTTTGTATGTATGTTACATTTATCAATTTTTGAAGTTAAACAAACAAGTACAGCAAGGAAAGGAAACTATTAATCAATTCTGGTTGATCAAGTTTATTGAATTAATGAAGGTTTAATTCTTCTTTACCAATAGAGGCACAATTCTCAAGCAAGTTCAAGAAAGATGTTAAAAGAAAAGAACAATGATTGCTATATTTTGTCTAAGACTTAGATACTAAGAAAATATATAAGGACTGATAGGGACACAGCTCAGTGACACAGTGCCTGGCATGCTCATTACCAGAAGGGGAAAAAAAAAAAAAAAAAAAAATATATATATATATATATATATATATATATATATGAATCATGTGTAAACTGCATGGCTTAAGATGTGTAAGAGACACAACACATATATGGCAGAAAGTGCCAAAGTAATTATAAGGTACAAAAAAACTGATAGTTTTTGTCATAATGTCATTAGCATCAATATCATCACACACTACTACACGATCAGTAGACAGGAAGAAAACAGTATTTACTAAAGAACTTTCAGAGACATGGAATATGAACTTGAAGGGGTTCTCAGAGCATCTTTATAGTTCTATAAAATTTTTTAAAACCTCATGTTATGTACATATATATATATATATATATACACACACACATATATACTGACTTGCTAATTACTACAACTCCATAAAAATCCTGTTATGTTTATATGTTCATATCCTGATACCTGAACTAATAAAATTGTATTAATGACTATTTACATAAATTCACAAGTCTAAATTAGATCTTTAATTCCTGTAATAAAAAAGAAAATGGCCTGAGCAATTTCCCATTTTTATTTTCCTACATGGAATATGGTAGCTCGAACATAATGTATGACTTTGTGAATATTTTCAGGGCTGCTAATATTTTATCTAATACTATATCTTATGTTTTTTGATCTCTGACCCCCATTTATACTCCCAGAACCCTCATGAGCAATGTTCACAATGATAACATTGGTAGAAGAAGCAGGACTAAAATTGAAGTTAAATCATCCACGGCTTGAATCTTTCAAGGAGGCCTCTCCGGGTCAGCAGTGATTTTTTTCCATGCATTTCTCCACTTAAAGAATGTTTCTTAAATATTTGATTCATCAGGACTGAAATATAGGTCTTATTTTGGAATAGATCACTGGTAAACACTATGGAGTGTGAATATGACCCCAAATTCTTCTTGCATTTTTAAATTTCCACATTGTTCATTATATCAATATATATTCTTGCATCCTCTGGGGAACAACAAAACAAAACAAGAGCACGGGAAAAAATTATGAGACACTACGGCTTTTAAAAGATGACAAAAGTAATTTATTGGCCAAAAAGAAATAGAAAAGCATTATTTTTTAAATTAAATTCAATTGGTGTCTTAATATTTACAAAAGGTGATGAGCGTTTGAAACCAAAAATGGATATACTTTCCTCAAGGGAAGAAAAAGAAATATTAGAGGGAATTAGGAGCAGGTGAGAACCAGATTATGAAGAAGTATAGCACATTAAGAGCAAACACAGAGGGCTATGGTGTAAATGGGAAGTGGGCAGGAAAGGATTTAGAAGTCAAAGCAAGCAAATAAGGAAAAGACATTGGTGAAAAGAAACATCACGCCTTAACACAAAAGCAGTTACAAAATCCCTGGCCTGAGCTTTAATTCGGAAGAAAGAACACCTGGAATCACTACCCCGTGAACACGGGAAAACACCAGTGCACCAAACTCCATGTGACTGCGGCTCAAACCAAATCATTAAGCAGCACTAACGAGGTAGCGCTTCCCACTCACCTGCCACAGCAGAAGTGGGTGCAGGCCCCAGTTCACAGCAACAGCATCCCACACCCAGACTCGTTCTCATTTCCTTCCACTGCTCCTACCTATTTTGGATTCATTTCCTTTGCAGCATCTCCAAATTTGGTCCTGCGAGTTTCCTGATTAAAATTCGTAGCTGCTTCTCCATTGCCCACAGGCAAAGCCCCGGTGGGGCTAGATTCTTCAACTCAAGATTCTTCTTGATTTTGCTTCTGTTTGCCTTTCTGCCCTCCTTTGCTTTTCCCCTGCAAGAGCTCCTGGTCCTCCAGCCACTCTGAAAGACCCCTAGCCCCTGACTGTACAGGAGCATCTCTGCCTTTGTACCTGCTTTTCTTTCTTCCTGCCTACAGCACCTTTTCCCTCTTTGTGTGAAAATTTCCTCTCCGTTCATGACCCAGACTCTTCTAAAGGCAGAGCTTTGTTTTTCATTGTTTTGCATACAGCTATGGCACAACACGGAGCCTGACACAGAAAAGGTGTCCAAATCCTACCTCAGATGCACCATCACAAGTAATGTTCAAGGGCTTTATTAATAGGTTTTTCGGTTTCAACTGCCACTTCGATTCAGGTAATTCTGTTCACCTATTTTCATAAAGAACTAGGATGTGATGGCTCTAAACATCCTCCACAGGCTTTTCAAAACTGAAATGGTGACAGTGACTTTACCTGGGTAGAGAGAGAGGAGGAGACATAAGACCCGAGCTGGCATGACTGCCTTTCACTAGTTAACACGCCTGAGCTCACTTCAAATGTCTCAGCCTGCTGTCCTAATCAGCAACATGGTGAAACTTTGACTGGGAATTGTTACAATTACAAAACGATTGTGAAACTTCTTATTTGTTTCTCTGTTGCCAAAGGCATCATCTCCCTTGACTACTAGCTGACTCTGGTCAGTGAGTTACTTCATCTGTAGCCTGTTTTTATCCCTTCAACTAGGTCAGCATTATTACATTAGCCGCCCCAGGATCTTGGTATTGCAGTAGCCCTTGAGATCAGAGTCATAGGTAAGCGGTAGCATTAAAAGGTTAAGAATTTGTTCTTAATCAAATAGTAAGACAGTAATGGCACTACAAATAGAACCACATTTTTTACATTCTCATTTCCTTCCATGGAAATGAGCACACTTTTCACTTGCTAATGAACTACATGAAGGTCATAGCCATGGTCATATTGAAATAGACACTCATCAGGTAATGTACTAGAGAGTGTTTATAGGTGTGATAATTATTCAATCAATCAACTCCATATTAAGTGAGTACATACTCTGCATGGAGCATTTTGCTAAATCTTACCACAGACTCAAAGTAGAGGACAACTTTCTTCATAGTTTTAAAGCTCAAAGTGGATAAAAGATACACTTTGAAAAAAATAAAAATTTTCTTTTATAATGCAAGTTTGAACCTAGAAGATAGTTAAATAGAATCACTCATGAAGGCACATTTGTACCAGATGTACCAGCTGTATCAGTGTATCCAAAGACTCAGTCTTGGAGTTTCATAGGAGTCATTAAAATCATAAAGCTCAACTCTTAAGCCTAAACATTCACCCATTTACACTTTTATTCATTCAAGTGGAATAGAATGGTTAAATGTTACCAGCATTCCAAAAAAGTCAGAGAAAGAAATATCTACCTGAATGCTGAGCATAACAGAGAGAGATTCTAGGCGGCAGACCACGTGAAAGAGGAAAGCTGTAGAGAACAAGCTGGAGGTATGCTTAAGTGTGTAGGACTGATAACCATATTACTAGGTTTTTGTTGGATCACTGAACAGAACATAGTCTCGCTGTTTAAATGTCCACTTTGTATGCTTTACTTTTGTAACTTGAACAACTATATGTAATTTATCATATCAGGTTCTCTGTAGTGATTTTTTACTTTTTTTTTAAATTATGTATTATTTCTACCCTTTTTCTGTTTTGTTTTCTGTTAAAAAAATTTTTAAAAAAGAAACAAGCTAGAAGCTATGAGTGAGTAACAAGTGCCTCCCCGTGAGTCTTCAAGACTTCAGTAAAATTAACACACTCACAATGTCCTAAAGTGAGGTAAAAGCATTTAAGAGAAAACTACAAATGATGAGACAAAAAGTCAACCAATAGAGCAGGCGACAGTGCAGACTCACAGAGAGAAGGGCCCAAGGATGAAGAAGGGCTAGGATTAGAAGGAGCTGCAGAAAGATTCTAGGTCTCCAAAGGCCACGGACGGTCCAGGGAACATCGAGTCCCCAGTGGCTTCTGGGTTGTCTTAGCTGTTCCAGCTGCTACAGCGAAATCCAACAGATTTTATGCCTGATAAACAGCAAGAATCTATTTCTCACAACTCTGCAGTCTGAGTGCTGGCAGATTAGGTGCAGTGAGGTCCCAGTTTCAGGTTCATGATTGATTCTTTTTTTCCTACTGCATCATGACACAGCCAGCTGAAAAACCCAGGGCTGTCTCTGATCTAGTCTACGAAGCCACCGATTTTATTCACAAGCCTCTCTTCCAAAAGTCCCACCTCCTGATATTGCTGCCTAGAGGGGTGAGGTTTCAACACGGGATTTTTAGAGACATAAACATTCATTCCATGGCATTTATGTATCAAATATTCATTAAGCACCTACCACAAGGCAAGCATGGAACTTGGTGCTGGGAACACAAGGAAAAACAGTCTATTATTTTACAGTATCTCAAAGTAGTGGGAAACGGGAAACAGGCAGTGATTATACTATACAGTGATAAGTACGAGGCTGGAGACTGTGTAATGCACAGATGAACACAAAGGAGAAGAGGCACTTAGTCAGGAATGCCTGCTGCAGCAGACGATATCTAAAGACAACAGGTCAGAAAGAGAAAAACATGAGGACCGAACCCATCTCTACGTACAGGTTCTCTGAACTGGGGAAAATTACTTAAATTCCCAGAGGCTAGATTTTATGGGTGAGAATGGGATAATAAGAGTTCCCACCCCATAGATTATCATGAAAATGAAAAGTGGCTGCATGCCTGGCACATGGTAAGTACATAGGAAAGTTTTTTGCTTATTGTTTTCACTGCTATTATTGTAGATACTGCTCTTCTTAAGCAGAGACTTGAAGGATAAACAGCAGTAAGGTAGCAAGAGCAAGTGTTCCAGTGAGGATTCCAGCATGCAGAAACATTCTCAAGAAAGAGTGTGGCACTTTCAAAGAACCAGAAAACACGCACCACAGCTAAAGACAGAGTTAGAAGGTTAAGACAAAAAGTTATTCTGAACTAACAAGCTTGGGTCATTAGATTTGCACTTTTAAAGAAATGGTTTAAATGCTCCTGAAAACTAGAGATGTGTCACTGGAAATGGGTGTAATTGATGACTCTGAGAAATATTTTAAAATATGGGAATCAGAGATAGGGAGCAGGTAGAGGAATCAAGAAAACACGTTACTGGTTTGAGCAAGGAAGAGCAACTCAGATGATATAAATGGTATGAAAACTCACAATTCAAGAATATCATGGAAAAAAAGTGAGAGTGAAGAAATATATCCAAGTTTGTACGGGAATTTAACTGGCATTTCTATTCACTGAGGGACTTTTTGGTGCTGATATTAATCTGAAAAAAACCCTTAATGTCAAACTTAACATATACAAAGATAAATTTCATATGACTTAAAACATCTGCTTGTAAAATAGCAAAGTAATAATAAGAGAAAATTTAGGAAATTATTTGCAAGATCTTGGTGTGATAGAAATCTTAAGACAGAAAACTCCAAAGTTATAGATAAAGAGAAACGCAAACTTATTTGGTAATCTTATGACAGTGACATCATAAACAAAGCCAAAATATACTCTCGGGAAAGCTATTTGCCACTCAAAAGACAGATGGAAAACACAATGGATATTCATCATTGGTGGTAGACAAACTCTTTTGGACACTCACCCTGCATTTTGATTGCTTACAGCATTCTGAATCCCACCTTCTCACGGCAGAAGGCAGAAAGCTCCTCCACCATTCTCCCTTGCAGGTGGGACACAGCCCGGGTGCCCAAGTGCAGCCCCTTGTGTGCAGCTGCAGAATTCAATTCTAAGTCAGCTGAGGGGAGAGCTCGCTAGGGTCAGGGCCCCGGAGGACAGCAACTCAGTGCAGAGGTGCTGGTGAGCGTCCTCAGGCTGCTTCTTCCGTGCTGCGGCGCATGTTGTTTCTGGAAACCTTTGTTCTTCCTGACCAGTTCTGCCAGCTGTCCAACATCCGGGAACTATCTAAACCAGTCAGTTTCTATTCTCACTAGTGGAAGCCCTGACCGGTATCAAGGATTGATATTCCTAATGCAGGGAAAGCTTCTACAAACTGAGTTTTTAAAGAAAAAAAAAAAAAAAACTGGAAGTCTCCTCATGAGGTTTGCAATGTGAAAGTGCTTAACATCAAAACACTAGGAGAATATTTGAAAAGTTGAGGACTTTTAAAAACTACATGAATTTTCATGACTTTGGTATGTAATTAAAACAATGATATTTTCCAAAAAATCGACTTTGGAGTAATGTGCAAAGCTCTACATTGAATAAGATTCAAACCTAGTATCTTCTTTACCAAAGAAATTTTATTTTTTTGCACTAAAATGAGCAACTAGTAAGTGAAAGAATTGAAAATATATCTATCTTTGAAAGAACTGATGTCTATTTAAAAGCAAAATAAGAACAATAACAGTAATAATAATTTGACATAACTTTTTAATTCTGAGATTTCAAGATGAAGTTACCCAAAGCTTTATAAGCCTGAGGACCAATGTTACTTGTGTTCAGGCTGCTTTTGAGACTCATTCCCATGAGTAAAGAATGACCTCCAGAATTCAGCTTACTGGGAGATAATACGGTAGGTGGACAAGTGGATGGACATGTACTGAGCGCCTCCTAACTGCTCTGTCGTCTGTGAAGGAACAGTACAAAACAGTCCAGCAATGGGCCAAAGGAGTAAGGGAGATAAAAGGCAGCTCGTTATTTAAAGTTGGATGTCATGATCTTTATCACACTTAGTTCTGCCCAGGCAGTTTATTAGCGTACCCTAATTCACTGTTGGGCAAAACCAGATATTTCTTTGGCAAAACTGAAATATCACATCTTTTAGTAAAGCCAGAAGTTGACTTTTAGTTAATCACCACCATAATCAAGCAGAAGATTTGAATAATGTATAATAAAATGATTAAGATGAAAAAAGTGAATGAAGAATACCGATTTTCTTTACTGTGTGTAGCACCCATGAGCTTACTGCTTTTCCCCACCATAAAGTACCAGGCTTACAGTAGAAGTGGGAGGCTATCAGTACCCAGATTTCCCTCCAATGCTTTGCCAAGGCTTGGAGAGAGGCCATTGACTTTAGTAATGCAGAAAACATCATTCTGTTCCTGCACCACACATGCAGATTGAATAAAACTTCATTTCTCTCCATCAGACTTGGTAACATAAGCCGTCAAATCAGAGCCAGAAGCAGCTGCTCTCTTCCTTCGAGAGGTTTTTACCTCCTCGGTACTAAGCCAGGTCGTGTGACGTTTCCTACTTATTTATGTTTTTCCCTAATGAAAGCATTGGCTCTTTGTGCTGCAATAGATAGTTTAGATTTTTTAATATTGTTAGTGTTGAGAGATAAACACTTTGGTGCATATTGGATAGTAATAAATTGTGTTGAACATTGATAAACTAACGCAATTACCAGCAAGGTCAGAGAGTCAGCTAATTTAGAAATATCAGTCCTAGGATTTTGAGTTGTCCCCTGGAGAACTGCAGCCACTTTATTACAGCAGGAGGGTGAGAAGAAAATGGTACATTAGGATTGATCTTTTGATCTAATTGTGGATCTCTGCCATTCCTTGTTTGACCAAAAATGCTTACCAAGCAAGAGGAAACAGCACAACTAATTGAGGAGCATCCCTTACAAACCAGAGAAAGTAAAGGAATTCTGAAAAATAAAGGAAAAATTCCTCGTGATATTATTGGTAGGACATTGTTATCACTGAAGTGCATGCTTGTCTTTCTTTTCTAGAATATTTGTTATATCATAATCAGATAAAATTTCATATTTTCAATCAGCTTCAGGAAAAATTCATGTTCACCACCTGTGCTAGAAAATTCTAACAAAATACTCAGTATGAATGAAATATTCAATACTCCCCTTTGATATGGGTCTCAAATTAGCCTTAGGGTTATCTAGTTTTCTTCTTTCAGCCCCAGGAAAAGTTTCAATGTACTTAGTCTTCAAATTTTATTTTTTTGTTTATCAAAGTATGAATAATGTAGACTGCTTAACTTATGTCTAAGCCTATAGTTATGTTAGACTATTTAAATTCACTCCTGAACTTAAGTCTGATTATATGTTCACATTGTTATTGTTACTGTTAACATAATTTACTTTCTCACCCAATATCTATCAAGTCCTGCCTCTAGGACTATGCTAATTTGACTGATTGTGTTAAAGTCAAAACTGTGTAACATCCTGAATACAGGCCTAAATAGAGTTCAATTCAAATAAGATTCATGTTTAGCTGCCAGGCGTATCACAGTCTCCATAAAATTGTATTATTTGGAAAAGCCATTCAAATGTAGCCTCTTTGAATATATAATCCCATTTAACAAGGAAACACTAAATCTATAAAGTAATCAAGGCACATAAATGTAGTACCTTCAAAAGGTATGGAATTGACAGTATTTCCAAAGTTTAGATTCTCACACTGGACAACAACATAAATGTCTTAGAACTCTATGCTAATATGGGTGTGCAAATGTATAAATTACTGCTAAATTCTGATCATGAAGTAAGACCAGATCTGAAAATCTCCCCCTTGATTATTCTATTTCCAAAATAAAAACTCTTTAATAGTTGAACTTTTGTTCCAATACCTATGAGACAATCAAGAAATAGAAGTTAAAATAGTGATATTTACTGCAATTCCAATTTTAAGTAGAAGCGATTTTCCAAATGATAATTATAAGAAAGGAGAAAAGCTCTTAACAGTCTAAGCAGGCACAAGACAACCTTGTTGACTGATAACAGACAACACTTTCAGATTTTCCCAAGATTCACTTCCGTGCCTGCAAAGCTTCAGACTCACCTCAGCCCTTTTAGAATCCAAAACCCTTCTATCTTCATTAAGTTTTCCTGCTATATTTTCAGTTGTGAATTTAATTATTCAGTTGAGAATTAAAGCCCACTGACCGATGCTAATATTTCTCAAACAGGGTCTTGAAAATACAGCTAGACTGCAGTTGTATACTGCAGCCACCAGGGTCACACTGATGCAGAGGGCTCAGTTGTCTACTCTTTGTAGGCTTAATGCCTAGAATGGGACTGGGGTAGTGCGTTTGTGATATAATCAGCTCTGGACCTTTAATCACTTGCGTTACATGACTGAAAGGATGATGAACTGAAAATACACTGAAAACAGGAAGGTTGCATCAGGCAGGATATTAACCCAAACGTCACTATTGCCGAGCTACCTCTTGCTGCAAAGTTGTACCCAGGATTTTTCCTTTTTTTTTTTTTTTCCATTTTCTTTAAAAACAAGTTGAAACTAGCTGAGGCTGAATCTGAAACAATTTGGCTGAAAAGGGAATCAATATTCAGTATCAAAAATACAATATGTGACATTTATGTAAAATACATATCCTGGATATTTTTGTAGCCACACAAACCAATGTATTTGTCAGAAATTACATGATGATTTGAAATATTAGCTGCTTTTAATTTTACAAATTAAAACAAATTTCACTTCATGCATTATCTGAAAATGTCAGGATAAACATGCCTTTCGTCTAACACTTCACCTGTAACAGCCATTCTGATTCAGTTCTCCTTGGTGTGCTGTGATGTCTTTAGTTTACTTTAGCAGCCTGGTGCCCTTCAGTTTTAAGATTCTTTGCAAATGAGCACTCGGAAATTTTTGGAAGCAATCTCTTTCCAAAGAAGAAAATACTACTTTTCCTAATCTGCAAAGAAAATTCCCTCAAATTCATTCATTTTTAAGTCATTTAGACCATATTTTCATTAGGAAATTACTCTTGATTTCTTTTTAAGCAATTGATAAGTTTACTGGATGGTAATCCATGTGTTTATGGATTCAGAAAGGCCTGCAGGTGAATTTCTCAGAAAGAATTTGGCCCAGTGGGTTTTACTCCCTGCTGAGAGCGTATACAATGATGTTTGTTTTGAGAATTTGCTCCAAAGAAAGTGAGGAAAAGACAGAAATGAACTAGAATTTCTGGCTCCAGAACCTTGGCATAAGGCCTGCTCAACTCTGCTACTTATAAGAACACAAAGTGTTATTTGGCTTAACCTAAGGCTTTATATTTTCTAAATTCTGTTTTCTTTGGCTTGAAAATAAAGTCATTCCTTGGGGCTGGGGATTTAGCTCAGCAGCATAAGCACCTGCCTTGTAAGCAGGCAGTCATGAGTTCGATCCCCGGTACTGATAAAAAGACAAAAAAAAGAAAAGAGAGTCATTCCTTCAGTTACCACACGGGAATATTTCCATTCAGTGCCAAGAAAACAATATCTATGTAAAAAGTAAACTACCATGCTGTCCTCCCTGTCCTCAGCCAAAGCCTGATTATCCGATACTTCACTCAAGTTGGAAAAGAAATCTTCCTACTATTAATGATGGATACCACCACTTCTAAGTTTAGGCCTTTAGGATACTTATGTGGAAATAATTTGGCAATTATTTACAAATGGAAGAAAATAGTAGTTTTTTATTTTCAATTTTGAGTATTTCATTTGAAGGGGTTTTTATGGACTTTATTTTTTAGAGGGCTTCTGGGTGTTCAGGAGAGCTGAGGGGAAGTGCAGAGTTCTCCTGTACTATCTGTACCTCCCTACACACCCTTAAACAGCCTCCCCATCAGCGTCCCACAGCAGAGCGATACATGTGTTGCAGCTGGCTGACTTACACTGGTACATCCCTGTCACCTGATGTTGCTGTTTCCATTAGAGCTCACTCCTGGTATTTTCCACTGTATGGGGCTGGGCAAATACATAATGCATACATCTACCATTATATTTTCATACAAAGTAGTTCCTCTGCTCTCCCCGCAAAAACCCTCTGGGCATCGCCTATTTATTTTTTCCTCCTCCCACTAATACCAATAACCACAGACTGTTCTACTGTCTAATGTCTAGTTTTTCCTCTCCAGAATCTTATAGGTGGAATCATAGAGCAGGTAGCTTTTTAAAGTGGTCACTTTTACCTAGTAATATGCACTTAAGTATCCTTATCTTTATATGTGATTCGATAGCTCATTTCTTTTTAACATCGAATAGTACTGTGGTGACTGCAGGTCCCATTGTTTACTCATGCATTTACCTACTAAGGAAAATTATA